GCATAGAGGGTTAATTTTACCTCCTCATTGCCTATTTGGATACCTTTTATTCCCTTCTCTTGTCTTATTGCTATTCCACATCATGTTCTAAAAGCACATTGACTTAACAGCGCTAGACCACACACTGTCCTTCCGAAGCCACTACTGTGGACCTAACTCGCTCACACCACCGGTGTCCAGAGGGTTCTGTCTCATGGCAACCCTCCACTGGGATTCCGCGGCAGTAAATCGTACAGGAGGCAATTGCCCATCATTCTCCTTCACAGCAGCTAGCAGATTCAAACTACCTATCTTTGGGCTGGCAGCACAATTCCTTAACCACTAGGCCACCAGAGCTCCCTTGGATTTTACAACTTAATCCTTTCATTATCAAGCTCCTTACCATCACACCAAGTATGTCATCTTAGAATCCTTATTGTTCCAATTTGCCTTTGTCATGGGCTTATGATCTGGCTCACAGGTAGTAATAAGGATCTGATGCGCTTCCACAGGACATGAAAGTTAATTGCTGGGCATTCCAAGTCTTTGGGTGAGCAGGACAGCTCACTACAGACAACAAGAACTCCCACAGAACAGGAAGAAAATTATTTTTTTAATTTTATTTTATTAATTTTAATGAACATTTACAGATATTTTGAATTTCCATTCATTCATTCTTAGAAGAAAAATACTTGTAAAACATTGTTGATCACCCAATTTACCAAGAAATCTTTTTGTTTGTTTTTTGTTGGTTTATTTTTTCAATAAGGGTCTGGTATTTTACTAAAGGTCTGGTGGTCAGAATATTCTTGTGACGATAAAGATTGAGCTGAGTTTCCACCCTCCAGGCTTTAGGCCTTGAAGCTGACAAGGAGACTGTCCAGTTCCCACCCTCCCAGCTTAGGGCCTGAGGACCTTGTACCAAACACCAGCACCAGAGATCCAGCTGAACCATCACCCTTGTCCTAATACCTCATCCAGGACCCCACCCTGCCGCTCTACCACAGGCCTCAGCTGGGGCCAGAGAAGGTGGTCCTCCACCATGACGTTCACATGCCTCATTGTCTTTACGGTTTACTGTTAGAGATACACCTATCTATCAGTTCGTCATATTGGGAGAATGATTTGCACATTGCAAATTACTTTTTAGAGAAGGTGTATGTATGCTTGCTTATGTTCACGCGTATTAGTACAGCATTTGTCTGTCAGTTTGCTGTAGTAGTGTAACTTGTGGTTGGCTGTGATGTTATGAGCTGGTGTTTCAAATGCCAGAAGAATCACAAATGAGGGACAAATTTCAGTAGGACTCCCAGATTAAGATGATAGACTGGGAAACAGGATTGGCCATTCTCCTTTGAAATAACAGGCCTCTGAAAACCCTATGAATGGTAGACAACTATAGCATTACAGAGAGAGTCCAGATTGGAAGTCTCTCAAAATGAGGAGAAACAGCAACAGGCATCCTTCAATAATTGGCATGTGGAATATGAAAATGAGTGAAGAAAAACTGGAAGTTGTCAAAAATTATATGGAACATATAAAAATTGACATTCTAGGTATGTGTGAACTGAGATGGACTAGCATGGGCTTTCAATCTGACAAGCATATGATTTTTTTTACACTCTTTTTTAAAATTTGTTTTACATTCTTTTTTATTTGTTTTTGTTTGTTTGTTTGTTTGTTTGTTTGTTTTTAAGATTTAAATAGGCTTTATTGTTACAAGTTGGGGCCCCCACGCAGGGCCTTCTATCTGTGGTTCCAGGATGTCACCATGGAGACATCAAGAGGTCATGACTGCAGGAGAGGCTGAAGGACATGATTCCGGGCTGTTCAGCAGGAATGCAGGAACATGATTAGATGGTCCAGGGCTGCTCAGGGCACAGGGTGGGAGAGGACGGTCCCCTTCATTCCCGCTTCTTGTAGCTCTCCAGGTGTGATAGGACCCAGGCCGGCGGCACAAGGAAACCGATAAAGAAGGCAGAGAGCCGGATGAAGATTTCCACGACCCCGATATGCTCCCGCGCCGGCTTCGATTGGATCTGGGCGCGCGGCACCAGGACCCGCCGGGCCGGGCCCAACAGGCCCCTGAGCAGCAGCAGATTCAACGCAGACATAACGGCCCGGTGCGGACGGCAGACTGAGCAGCAAGCCCAGGTCAGGAAGTCAAACTGGCGCCGGCCGGAAGTTCCGGAATGGCCTTTATTTGTTATTTTAATTACTTTTTTATTACTGTCAAATTGGATCTGACTGGTACAGGAGGAGATTGTCCCTCCTTCTCCAGCAGAGCATCTGGTGGATTTGAACTGCTCACCTTTGGGCACATGATCTCTTATGCCAGGAATGAAACACTAAGAAAGAATGATATTGCATTCATAGTGAAACAGAGCATTTCAAGATCTATTCTAAAGTACAATGTTGTGAGTGACAGGACACTATCAATCCACACACAAGGAAGATCTGTTAATACAACTGTTATTCAAATATATGCACCAACAACTAAAAACAAAAAGGAAGACTGAGGATTTCTACCAACTTCTGAGTCCAAAATTGACCAAACATGCAATCACGATGCATTAACAATTGGGAGTTCTGGTAGTCTCGCAGCAAGAAGGTGCACTGCAATCCTGAAGGCATACAGTTCAAATCCACCAGATACTCCACTGGAAAAGGAAGGGCAATCTCCTCTGCCAGTCAGAGCTGACTCAACAGTACAAAACAAGTAAAAAAAAAAAGATGTATTAATAGTTATTGGTGACTAGAATGCAAAAATTCAAAACAATGACCATGTAATGATAGTTGAAAAGTACAATCTTTTTTTTTTATTGTATTATTTTTACGTGTACCGTCAAATCAGATCTGACTGGGAAAGTACAATCTTAGTGACAGAAATGAGGCTGGGTATCAAATGACTCAATTATGTATGTTTAATGATCATCACAGATACTTTTGAGGGGGGAAACCCACAAAAAAGTGACTTTACATATGGACTTCACTTGATAGGCCGTATAGGAATCAGACTGACTACATCCGTGGGAAGAATCATTACAGAAGCTGAGTATCAGCACGCCAAGCCAGACCAAGTGCTGACTGTGGAACAATTACTTACATGCAAGTTCAAACTGAAGCTGTAGAAAATTAAAACCAGTCTACAAGAACCAAAACATGATGTCGAGTCTATTCCATAGGAAATTGTTTTTTAATTTTATTTTATTTCATTATTTTTTGGGTGTACCATCAAATCAGATCTGACTGATACAGGAGGAGATTGTTCCTCCTTCTCCAGCAGAGCAGCTGGTGGATTTGAACCGTGTACCCCTGAGATTACAGTGCAGCTTCTTGCCACTAGGCCACCAGAGCTCGCCTATTCCACAGGAATTTAAAAACCATCTCCAGAATAGGTTTGAGCCATTGAAAAAAGACCAGATGAATTAAGGGGCGACATCAAAACATCAACCATGAAGAAAGCAAAAGGTTGTTACAAAGACAAAAGAGGAAGAAAAGACCAAAATGGATCATAGAATAGACTCTGAAAATTTCACTAAAGCATCAAAAAGCTAAAACAAAGGGAAGAAATGCGGAAATCAAAGAGAGGAAATACTTTTTACAGCCTCTGAAGACGGCTAAAGGATCTGCTGTGAGTTGGTTCCAACCACACATAACAACTTCTACCCTTCGTAAGCTCTGATTCTGGCCCAGGGCTGTACGTAGCCCTTCAGGAAGCTCTCAGATGCTAACACATGCTATGGTTTGCCTCTGCTACAACCTCCTAGTTGCTGTGGTAGGAGAGAGGATTAGAGACAGCAGAAAAAAGTTTTTCTACTGTTTATCAGTCTTTTTCTCATTTCAGAGGACAGTTACGTACTTCTCAAAGTTCTTACACAACTGACATCAGAGATTTCTAGCTGCTTTTCTTGGTGCTCACGTAGGAAGATCGGCACCTCAGACCAACTCAGTCCCACACCTTCCCGGAGGTGCTTCTAGAAAAGTTCTGAGGGAGTTCTGGTGGCCTGGTGGCAAGAAGCTGCACTGCAATCCCAGAGGTATGTGGTTCAAATCCGCCAGATGCTCTGCTGGAGAAGGAGGGGCAATCTTCTCCTGGACCAGTCAGATCCAATTTGACGGTACACACACAAGAAAATAATTTAAAAAAATAAAATACATTTTAAAAAAAGAAAAGTTCCGAGTCCTGGATGCACTCAGCTGGCTTCCTATCTCATCCTAAGGCAAAGTCCGTTCCTATCAGATCTTCTTATAGAAGATGTTCCGCCCAAGCAGTGGAAAATAACAAATACAAATACAGCTTTATTGGTTAAAAGAAGAGGCAAATTTGACTGAGATTTCTCTCCCCCAGCAGTAACTATGTGTCCAAAGAGAAGACTAAGAAAAAGAAGAAAAGGGAGAAGAGAAAAAGGAAAAGGGCGGGAGGAGCCAGGGAAAGAGGAAGCAGGAAGGAACTGCAGATGAAGGTGTTGTCTGGACGAGGACATCATCTTGGAAGCTGATGACTCAAGGATCCTGCTGGAAAGAGGAGAGCGGGCGGGAAACAGCTATCCGTGGCACCTCGCCCCCTAGAAGGGCAGCACCTCTTCCACCGGGATGTCGAGGAGGACCTCCATATCTGGGGTGCACCTGGTAGGAAGCAGCAAAGAGGAGTATGAGAGGCCACACAGGGACAGCAGAGTCGGGTAGGGGTGGAAGGCGCACAGCCTGCAAGGAAGCCCTTCTCTTTAGACTACTGGTACCTACCAGGGGAGTCCCACCCCACACACAACCTGCATATAACATAAACACCACTGTCCGTGCGCATAGCACACATATTGCATCATTGTATGTATATGTATATGTATATGTATATGTATATGTATATGTATATGTATTTATACATACATATATGCTGTTGTTGTATGTGCCATCGAGTTGCTTGCAGTCACTAGCAACCCTATGTACAACAGCCCTAAACTCTGCACTGTCCTATGCTAATTGCACTGTCTCTGACATTCCCATCCCAATTACCCCAGTCACTGAATCAATCCACCTCATAGAAGGCCTTCCCCTCCTGCGCTGTGCCTACACCCTCCCAAGCATGATGTCCTTCTCCAAGGACCGGTCTCTCCTCACAACATGTCCAAAGTATGTTAGACCGAGTCTCAGAATCCTTGCCTCCAAGGAGCCGTCTGGTTTAACCCTTTCCAGGATGAATCTGTTTGTTTTCCTAACAGTCCACGGTATACTCAATACTGTTCTCCAGCACCACAGATCAAAGGCATCAATTCTCCTTCTATCCTCCCTAGTCACTGTCCAACTCTCTGATGCATAACAAGTGATAGCAAAGACCATGGCCTGTATCAGACGCACCTTAGTCTCCAGAGAGATACATGTACATTGTATGGTGTATGCACACAGCACATGCACTGCACCACTGTATGTGAACCTAACATACACAGCACTGTTCATACACATGGCATACACACTGCACCAATGTATGTGTGTTTATAAAACATACACACCAAGTCCATGCACATGTCACACACTTTCACCACTGTATACACACATAACATACACACTGCACCACTGTACATGCCTGTAACATCCTCACCACTGTCTGTACACATGACATCCACATTACACTGCCATATGTGTAAAGAATAGACACACCACTGTGTGTGCACAGAGCACACACTCTGAACCAATGTACGTGTACATAATGTGCACCCCACTGTGCGTGCACTTGACATACACCTGACACTCTATGTGTATACAACAAACACCCCCCGTCCATGCACATGGGACACACACTGCATCGCGGTATGCAACATAACATACACACCACTGTCCGTGCACACAGCAAACACCGCACCACTGTATGTGCCGTCCGTGAACATGACATACACACCGCACCACTGTATGTGCCATCCATGAACATGACGTACACACCGCACCACTGTATGTGCCGTCCATGAACATGACGTACACACCGCACCACTGTATGTGCCGTCCATGAACATGA